AATAAAATAATTACACTTCTCCCTGTATATATATATACATTTTTTCATAGGATATTGTCATATTTGTAGAATATCATTTTTAAATTTAAAATTTTATAATTCTATTATAGATTAATTATTAGTTTTTTTTATTATCTTAAATAGTTAATTAAATAGTTAGATATGCAGGTCCACATCAACTATATAGCTGCCAGTTTTTAGACCTGCCGTGAAACAAAGTTGTATGTATGTGTGTGTGTGTGTGTGTGTGTGTGTGTGTGTATGTATGTATGAAGTCTATCTATAGATGCTGAAGTCTATCTATAGATGACTTAGGTAGACCATAGTATAGAGAGTTGCAAAAATCTAATTTAGAGGTAATAAAAGAGTGTACAAGTGATTCACAGGCACTCTTACTGATAAATTTGTGAACTCTAGAAATATTACGCGAGTGATAAAACGAGGATTTACGAACAGACGAGAATTTACAAAGAGGACGCAAAGACGAGGAAATACCTAACAATGAACCGCATGTGCATCATCCTAAAGCGGATATTGACAGATTATATGTCAAGAGAAGAGAGGGAGGTGGAGGACTTGTCCAGATAGAAAACTCGTATAAGATTTTAACTATCGGTCTGGACATGTACCTGAAAGAAAACCAGGATTGCCTCGTGCGTCTAGTCTCTAAGCACGAGAACAACAAAAAGATGTACTCCATTCACAAAGAAAGTAAAAAATTCAAGACCGAAAATGGCGAAACAGATGTGCTAAACGAATCTCTACCAAGCAAAAACGACGTTTACATAATTAAAAGCAAAAAGGATAAAGAGCACCTACAAAGATCATCTGCAAATGAAACAATGTGAAAAATGGGAGTCTAAACCCATTCATGGCCAATACATCAGGCAAGTCAACAAAGCAGATGTCGACACACAGAGAACGCACATTTGGTTAAAAGGAACAGGTTTGAAGTCAGAGACAGAGGGGCGTATTATAGCAGCACAAGAGCAGACGCTGCCTACAATTTATTACGAGAATAAGATCATGGGAAAAGATGTTAATACTAAATGCAGAATCTGCTGTGATTACGACGGGACTATCGACCACATCATATCTGGATGTCTTGTTCTTGCAAAGAARGATTAGATAGAAAGACACAACAAAGTTGGTAAATATGTTCACTGGAAACTGTACAAGCATTATTGATTTACCGTCTGCATAAAATGGTATGAACCAGAAATTGGGACATGCAAGTACATACGGACAGAACCATCACAGGCTAATAGGGCCGACATTATAGTGAAGAACAAAGTAGAGAAACGTAACGATGTTCCTTGATAGACGTGTAAATCCCAGCAGAACGAAAAGTGCCCCTTAAACAAGTAAAAAAACTCTCAAAGTACGAAGATCTAGGAATAGAAATTTAAAAAATGTGGGGTATGGAAACAAAATACCATACCTATTGTCAGTGAGGCACTGAGGTTAATTCACAAAGGACTAGAACAATATGTCAACCAATTAAAAGGGGACATCTCTATCACAGAAGTACAGAAGATTGCTATCCTTGGAACTGCACACATCATAAGAAAAAATCTCGTGATTACTTGATTCCTTTTTTCCCTTTTACTTCATTTTTTAAATATTTATTTTAATTATACCTCGTATTGTAAATATATTCTTGTTTTCCCAAGGCCCATGGATTGGGCTCGGTGAATTAAGAATTTTGTAAGCAAAATTAAAGCAAATTGTAAATAAAGATAATAATGA